GATGGTGGTGAAGATGATAAATCCATGATACCAACTTCCAAATCCGGCGAGGACTCAGACATGACGGAATCCTCCAGTGTGATTCCTGTGAGCTCAATCTCGTCTATACCTGGCAAAGACAACGCGGCGGTATGTGTATGGAGTTGTAAGGGATGGATGCCTGAGCTTTGAGAAATTTCCGGCATAGTCATACCCGAAAGTCCCAATCCAAGACCGCCTTGGTGCGCGAATGGCTGCACAGGCTGGTGTGTCCTCGCGCTGAAGATCAAATCACCTGCATAGTCCGAGTGATGAGTGAACCCTCTTCCACCGGGAGCGCCTATTCCCATCCCTCCGTCCATGCTCATGCTGCTACTCATCGCACCTCCTACACCTGCAGAGGTCCACTCGTCTGAGAATGCTGATCGGGAGTCATAGTCATCCCCGATACCAATTTCGGAAGAGAAAGAGAGGTTTTCGTAGGGAGTGTACGAGGAGCTGGTGTGTGAGTGGGAGAAAGAGTGGTACGGGTTGGAGGTATTTGGAGGGACGAGATCATATCGGTCGAGCACACCATGCCCATTGTTCTCGCTCGGGTCATTCAAACTCGAGAACGTAAGGCTATGGAAGCCATTGGTCATTGGCTGCAGCAAATCAGAGTTGAGGGAATTGAGAGTCTGCAGTGAGAACGACGGCGGGGAACTGAATGTAGAGAAAGGTGATGACGGTGACAAGTTCCCTCCGCCGCCTTCCGTGAAGGAGGACGAGGAGGCGATGTCACCACTGGTAACATTGTCAGTACCACTGTCCAGTCGAGGATTAGGTGAGAACCAGTCCTGTGTTCCCCATGCTGACTTTCCAATCATCGTCATCCCATTACCACTACCATTTCCGTTACCGTTGTTAGCGCTACTGTTGCTATTCTGGGGCACAGCAAAGTTATTATAATTATACTCCCCAAGGGAAGTGTCCATCATATCAGTCACCTCAATCTCATCATCCGTCGCCGTGGCCGAGGATGTGACAGGGGACGAGGTAAAGGAAGAGAACGACGAGAGAGGTTTGTGACCCCAACCAAGAGGATTGGAAGAAGAGCTGACCGATCGCATCACACGCGTGGGTTTCACCGCGTCCTCGTCGTCTTCACCTCCAGAACTCATCTCGTCCTCAGACGGAGCGTTACTCTGAGGGACGCTCTTCGTCCCACCACGAAAGATGCCTTGGGAGGTATTTCGCCGGCGACGACGAGTCTGCATCCGAACGGGACCGGTCGTCGACATGGCCAACTGGTCATCAGTCGCTGCACGGATCGGCTTCTTTGGTGAAGTAGCCGGTGTGCTAGGACCTGATGTGAACACTGGAGTAGAAGCTGCGGTTGCCGCTGTGCTACTATTAGCAGCCAATACCGTCTTCTTCTTCACCGCCGTACGAGGCTTGTAACCAGCAGCTTGGTAAAGCTCTGGAAACGCATTTCTGAACCGATCTCGTAAATCTGTTGAACGTCGGTTCTGCTCTTGGAATACTGGATCTTTGACTATCGTTGCCCATATGGTGCCGTGTTTCTCGTAGCCAGCTTTCAGAGCCCGGTCTTCTTCCTCAGTGAATGGCCGGCGTTTCTTGGAACGCGTCTTTTCGAAGAGGGAAGAGCCGTCTGGGAGGGTTGATCGTATTTTGGTAGACAAATGGGTACGGGCATTGGGGTAATGTTGCTTGTAGGCATCTGGGAAGTAGGTACGGAAGCTGTAAAGGATATAAATTAAATGCAGAGTGCGGTAGAGATCGAGCATACCGGTCTTTCAAGTCTACAGGAGATCTGTTATCAAATTTGAGAGTAGGATCGCTAAGGATAGTCTTCCAATTTCCGACTCCATGCTAAGGAAAGCAACTGTCAATCAATGATGTTCCGGATTGAGGAGGACTGCGGGCACCTTATTACAGCCATCAACAAGCATTTGTGTCTCTTCTGGAGTCCATTTCTTTCTGAGTTTCCTTTCGTGTAGTTCTTCTTCTCCGTCAACAGTGATCTTCCGCAACTTGCCCTTCTTTTCCTCGAGCACAGTGTCGTCACGGAACGTCCACGCGCTGGAAGGTACTAATTTCGGAGAAGACGTCGTGGCAAGAGATACACGTCTTTGCTTTGAAGAGCTGGCAGTGGTGACGGTGGAAGATGCGGGTAACAATGGTGCTTTGAAGGAGAATGTTTCGACTGAGGGCGCTTGGAGTTTGGGTAACGGAGACAATGTCGGGCTCTGACTTAGAGTGAGCGTCGCGGACGCCATCGTAGCTGTTGACCTTGAATTTCGTCAAAGTCTGACTAAAGACTTGATAATCACTGGGTCGACGGGTTCTCCGTTTACAAAATCCGTGAAGCTAGGACAACTTTGATAAGGAATTGCCTAAAAGGACTATTGGTAGAGCTGCTGAGCAAGATGAAGGGACTGGGTGAAGGGCAAGAAGTGTAAAAATGACTGAGGAAACGTTGTTCTCTCCTCCCCGCCGTGGGCCAAGTTGGTAGTTGCCGAAAGAGGTATTATGGCTATCAGCAAAACGTCCCACACTCGATCATTCATGATATTTCATTGATTTTCCAAGTATATTCTATGAACTGTACAGTCTACAGCTATGCGGAGATACAAGTGGCCTCGCGGACATGAGGAGTGTCCAAAACGTCCTCGTGTATGCAACGCGGTATGCTTCGTGGTCAAGCCTGCTGCCTCAGGTAATGGAAAACCCAGCAAGGGAAAGATTTACCGACGTTGAAAGCGCCACTCAAGGGTGACTTGTGTTGGAAAAATGGCTGTACTCGTCATGTCAAAGCGACAGGATTCCTGCTCTCGAGCTCGAGGTTCGTGTTCAATCAGATTCAGCGTTGCCAGATGAATGTTATGTGGCCTACAGGTTACCTTCCTTTACGAGTTAGTAGGTAGTATCTCATGACTATGATAGTATGAAAGCGGGAAGCTTTTCACAAAGAAATTTAAAGTGAATCAGGATGAGAAGACTGAGCTTGGAAGCAATTTGGAGTTGGAAGTCCGCAGAGAACAGAAGTTTAGCGCCCTCAATCAAGTCGTTTAGCGCCTCGGCTCATTGTTTGGACATATTTACGTGCCCTCAGTGACGCGTCGCGGTATTCAAAATTATCATCAATCTCTCCCATTTACACCCATCTACCCTCGCTCAAAATGACCACATCCTCAATGGCCGTTGACCTAAATCCGTCAGCTCCGAAGCTTGTCCTCGATGAATTCATCGGAACAGCACTGTCATCCACACCCTCGGAACTCCATCCCTTCTTTGAATCATTCAGAACTCTGCATACGCGAAAGTGAGCTTTCATCTGCTTCGATGCATGTACTATCGATGCTGACTGCTGAATGACCTTTGACTCTAGATTATGGCACCAGCTTACTCTCAAGCTATTCGAATTCGTCGACCACCCATCGTCTAAACCGTTTCGAGTAGATGTGTTCGAGCGATTCGTTACTGATTTCGAATCAAAGATGAACCAGCTTCGGTTAGTTGAGCTTGGTGTGAAGGTATCGAAGGAAATCGATAGTAAGCTCTCATTTCAGGATAACCATGATGACATGATTCTCACTAGCATCCAATCTCAGACCCTCAAACTCATCTAACATTCCTCACTTCTCTCCTCACTCGAATCAACAAAGACACTGCACCGGATGCATATATTCTTCTCTATGCGAACATTGCGCACGCAAAACTGCTTTATGGAGACCTCGAGGGAACGAAAGCTGATATGGACGAAGCCTGGAAGATTCTTGACAGTGTAGAGAGTGTTGAGAATACTGTGAATGCAGCGTATTACGGTGTCGCTGCTGATTATTACAAGGTAACACTTTCTATTGTGCTGTTTGAACGTCGAATGATGGTTAACCATGGTGATAATTGAATTATAAAGGCCAAAGCCGAGTACGCACCCTACTACCGCAATTCTCTTCTCTACCTCGCATGTGTGGATCCAGCGACGGATATGACAGCCGAGGAGAGGTTGGGACGCGCGCATGATTTGAGTATCTCCGCATTATTGGGTGATACGATCTATAACTTTGGAGAACTGGTACGTTTTTACCTAGTGTTCACCTTCATGACTTCTCTCAATTCGTATACTAATTTCTACTCTATCTCAACCCTCAGCTGATGCACCCTATTCTCGACGCTTTGGATGGGACACCATATGAGTGGATCAAGAAACTCCTCTTCACGTTCAACGAGGGAAGTATTGGGAAGTTCGAAGCGCTGGCACCGTTGCTTCCTCAAGAGGTATGTTTTTAGTTTTGTTATGCATGATACTCCTCTTCCTCCGATATTCACGATGGACCTTCTACCCACTTTCATTTTTGTGGCTCTCCAATTTTCAGTAGCCCAGAGTCTTGAACAGTGTTGCTGACTTTGTTTTTCTGTCTGTCTGCCTCCTCTCCTCTGTACTAAAAAAATCGGTAGCCGATCCTCCAAGAAAACTACCCATTCCTTCGTCAAAAAATCTGTCTCATGGCCCTGATTGAATCGGTGTTCAAAAGAAGCGCGGATAACCGAACGATGAGCTTTTCGACTATTGCGGAGGAGACGAGATTGCCGATAGACGAGGTAGAGCATCTGGTTATGAAGGCTTTGAGGTGAGTGTTTCGTTTGCTCTTGCACGCTACACCCCTTCCACCTCCTCTCTTCGAAATTCCTTGTGTACATACGCTAGCAGAAACTGACCAGACCATTTTCCCTCTGGCAGTCTCAAACTCATTCGTGGATCAATGGACCAAGTCGATCAGAAAGCTCAGATTACCTGGGTTCAGCCTCGGGTGCTGTCCCGACAGCAGATTGGTGGGCTAGCAAAGAGGCTGGACAGTTGGGTGAACAAGTTGAACCTGGTCGAGAAGAGAATTGCCCCAGAGATGTTGGCTACTGCGTAATGCGGGGGATACTACTCAATTAGTACCATGATAACTTGTACAAATCACAACCAGGTCTATGTGAAGTTTTCGATTGCGAAGAGAGCAAAAAAAAATGGGGCGAATCCGGATTCGAACCGAAGACCCCCTGCAAAGGATTCTGCTCTCTCAAGCACCCAAAGCAGGTATCATACCTCTAGACCATACGCCCACGTATAAAATTCATTTATTTGTCCCATATTGGCAACGATACGGAACTCGGGCCTGTCACCGAATTCATCGCGCACGGACCAGCTTGGAGCGGTTGGAGCAAGCTTAACGTTAGTTCAAATTCTTGAACTCGTCCACGTCCGTCCGTCGCCCTCTCGACGTGTTCTTTCGTGTTCTCCAGCTCTTTTTTCAGTCCAGATCATACTAGAAAAGCTCTTCCGTGTAAAATGGCCTCCGTACTTCGAATGTACAAGTGCGTATGATAATCAACACTTCTCCAGTGATCAAGCTCAAGCTCAATTTTGACTTTTTTCTTTCTTTAAAAACAGTGTCGCGTTGCAACGCAAACCGATGTTCACTCAATGCTGCACGGCTGCGTTTTTGTTTGGTGCCGGTGATATCATCGCTCAGCAAGGTGTTGAAGGGAAAGGAAAGAACCACGATGTGAGTTGCAATGATTAGAGACGTTGTAGCTGAGGATTCTTCTCATCTTCTCGTTTAATTTCTGGTTTCTGGTTGAGATATGCGTCTGAGATCTTTTTGCATCGTTTGGCGGCTTACTCCTGATGCTTCTAGTTTGCACGAACCGCGAGGTTGACGTTTTACGGCGGTGGGTACTACTGTCTCCTGGTTCTTCCTCGACTCGGAGTCCTTGTGTGTATTTGGGTTTTCATGATGGTCTTCACCTTCCAGGCTGTCTTTTTGGACCGATTATGACAAAGTGGTACCAATGGTTGAACACCATCAAGTTCTCCTCTCCTACCAGGGCAGTCGTCTACCGGGTACGTGCTTACACCACTGAGCTCTTGTTCAGGCAACATTTTCACTCATACTCTCGAACGTTCCAGGTGTTCCTTGATCAAGCCGTACTCACACCAGGTCAGTCTTATCGTCGAATCCCAATCAGTCACTATAAACTGACTATCTCCTACATAGCGGCGGTGGGATTTTTCTTCGGATCTATGAGTATTCTGGAGGGTAAACCTAAGGAGGCTATTCCGAGGATCCAAGCTGTGTGTTCAAACCATCCATAATGCGCTCTCGACCTGATGAATAGCTTCTTCCTCGATGACAGGCCTATGTTCCGACTATCATTCGTAACTGGGGCGTCTTCGTCCCCACTCAGATTATCAATTTCGCGATCATACCACACCACTTGCGATTTGTTGTTGTCAGTGTGGTCAGCTTGTTCTGGAGTGAGTACATGTTGAACCGACTCTTCACCATGTTATCCGAATCTGAACATTGTTGCCTTCTTTTAGACACGTACCTCAGTGTGGCCAATGCTCGTCAAATGAAAGCTTCCCAGCTACTAGAAAGTCCAGGGTCCAAGAGCGTAGCTGAGTTTGAGGCAGAGGCTATGAAAAAGAGCGCCTGAACTCCTGTCCCTTTTCCCAACAAAACCCAGTATGAATGATCTTCATGCTAAAAAAAGAACGCTGTTTGTCGCTCCCTGTCTTTCATTAATTCTATATGCTGACGGAATCCGCTCAAGAACAGCGATTAGGTTCATATCTATTGCTCTCATCTTCGCAGCTAGATTACAATTAGGACGCTACCTTATCCTTCATCTATAGAACACTCTTTATCTCCATGCGCATCCCAGCGATTGCCAAAGTCCCCCCGCGGAAATTACTAGGCCAACGACCTGCATGAACTCAACAGAAACCTTTCAAACAATCTTCAGGTTCAAAGTCTGTCCTTGTTTGATAGATCGCTCTAGAAAGGTGACAAGTGCGGAGTAGTGTCGGTTCCGATATATCCTTGCTTGGGATCGTCTGGCGAGGAACAGGCCGAGAGACTCAAGTCAAAATGCAACGCAACGAAGTCTACTGTCTTATCGATGGGCCCCCGCCTTATCTTCCTTCTCAGACTGCTCGTCAACGAGATGTTGTGGAGGATCTGGAACGCTCTTGAGATGAAAGACGTTCTTGAGATGAAAGACGTTTTCATGGATTCAGGAATGGATCTTCCAAGTTCCTTTCTTGAGCTGCATAGTCACTGTTACTAAGGCCACCTTGGCCCGATCCCACTTAGTGCCACCTCAAATAGTCAACGCCGCCGACAAGGCGGCAAGGCGGAAGGGGTTACTCGCACGTTCATACCCTCTCCTGTGGCGACCGGCCTGAAGTTTGAAGCAAACATAGGGGGTGATTGAGGCTAAGAACCAAGATGAGTTAGTTTTTCTTGCCATGAGTCTACAGCGATACAGCTTCAAAGGAGGGATCCATCAGAGATATGTATAGATAACTCAACAAGCTGTTATCGACCTTCGTTTGAGAAACGTCGTCAGGGCTTCCAATTACGTTCCGAGATCTTTTTCTCTTCCCAACTCGACTCTGTTGCAACTTCCATCGTCCAGTCATCTTGACATGTGGCCCGTGGGGCCTACAGTCGAGACAGTTGGGTTGGTTCAAGTTGGGATTCTCAGACCACCCTCCACGGACATGATGGAGAAGACAAGTACTAACAGGACGGTGGCGTTTTTGGGATGTATAAATAGTACTTGGTCGATCGATGTATGTTCTTCAATCTGCCGGTGCTCATTCCCTCTCTCTCATCTTCTCTCTTTAAAATCCCTCTCCCTCTCCTTCGATACTACTATCCCTTACTCAATCTCAAAATGGTCACCTTCACAAAGATATCTAACCTCGGAGCCCTCCTGCTCCCAACACTCTTTGCTCTCCCTGGTGCCAATGCCCATGGTCAGATCAAAGGCGTCCTAGCGAATGGCGTCTACAATAATGGTCCTAACGTATGTTCCTTTGCATATCTCCCATCCTGATTCCTGAGTCCTGACCGTATGCCTTCGACTATGAAGATCTACTGGGCTGCCGATCCCGTCAACGAGCAAACGGCTGTTAGGAAGATGTACCAAGCTGCGAGCCCGTCCTACGTTCTGCCTCAGGATTTCAACGATAATTCGTCAGTTCAAGACTGTTTTCTCTTGAGAGGATGACGAAAACTTACCATATCTGATGATTTCCTCTCTGTCTATAGCAAAATGGCTTGTGAAGGTGCCGCAGGTGCACCGAAAACCATCGTCGCCTCTGCAGGGAGTGTTGTCAGAGTCGACTGGGTCGGAGCGACGGGTGAGCTTGATGGCAAGCCTGGAACCGGGAACGTTCCTGCAGGTCAAAATCCTTGGGTTCATGCGTAAGTCTCTCGATCCCTCTCTTATTCGCTCATCTACTTAACATCTACATAGCATGGGAACCGTGGCGTCCTACATAGCTGAATGCCCGAACGGCGACTGTGCGACGTACGATGCCTCTCAAGGATCCTGGGTAAAGCTCGCGATGTTCGGGATCGATAGGACAGAGACGATCTCGCCCGATCTTCGTGAAACGATGCAGAATAAGCCTGAGGAGTATTATCCCACACCCGGGACTAGTGGGCTATGGGGTATGGCTCGGTTTGGTGGGTTTAAGCTTCGTTTTCTACTTTCCTTGCCCGTGCTCATGAGTTTTGTCCCAATTCACGTCCTCAGTCCAAGCCGGTTCTTCCTGGACTGTGACTATACCAGAAGGCCTTGCTAATGGACATTATATTCTTCGTCAGGAGGTGCGGCACAAACCTCCTATGAATCTAAGAACAAGTGCTGATAGTTTGCGCTCGTAGCTGGGAGCCGTCCACAATCCCTGGAATGCACAGGATAATACTTCTGGTACTCAGCTGTACATAGGGTGTATTCAGATGGAGATCACCAATGGTGGAAACACAAAACTGCCACAGGGAACCAAGGCTGGCTCGTAAGTCATCCACTTGTCTTTTCCCGGAACACACACTCTAAATAGTCTTCCTCAACACGCTTCAAACTCTAGATTGTATGCAACAAATGGCGCGTTTGCTAGATACGACGTCTATGAAGACAACGGAAGATCCTTCGTTGACCCTGGTCCAGCTCTCTGGCCGACATCTTACGCTAAGAGAGAAGAGCACTCGAATCACACTTCCGCTGAAATCTCGGCTAAATGTAGTGCAGGAGAGAAACAAGAGAAGAGGATGAGGAAGGTCAAGAGGTCGATCCAATACCCCGGTGCTTGAAGCAGTTTCGAAAGACTATCAATTTCTTTGAAGTTCAGCGACTTTTGACAGAAGTATAGAGCGCAGGCTGCTCTTACCGCTTGTATGCTGATAGATAAATAGAAGAACGAATATGTAAATATACATAGATACCATCCACGATTTTGTACTTTCAAGTTTCTTCGCGCACGGCGCCAATTCATTCATGAACAGAATAGGGGTTTGGGCGCTTAAATGCCCGAAATCGAAACTTCGGAAGAAACACGATTCTTTTGTTGTTCAGCATTCTCCAAGGGTGAAATGGGACTCTCATCAGACGCTTTCAGTACATAGCTGACTGGTGGCTGATAAAGTAAGTATGTTTCTAAGAAATCAATACTCTCTAGCGACTTTCATAATTCGGACGCAAACCGTTATTCGCTTGGGCTGTCAATCCACGAGCTTCTTTTCTTCTTATAATTTGAGTGAAAATTCAAGCTGCCAGTAACGTCTTCACTTCTTTCATGTCTCATTCGCCTCAAGAAACAACGCCTCTCCTTCCCTCAGCAGACTCTGTCCAAGAGCCTGACCATCCTAACGGTGACAACGAAATTGGCAGCGCGATTACAATCAGAAACCTCGAATATCACGTCGTTCTCCTGTTCCTTTCCTGCTACAGCCTTTTACCTTGTTAGTCCACTCCATCGCAAGACTGACTATCTCGCGTTATTTGATCAACCCTGCCACAGTTTTTGTTTCTGGCTCTTTCTTACCAGCCATACCATCCATTTCAGAAGACTTGGAAACGTCAGATTCCATACTCAGCCTTCTATCTAGCGCGTCTAGCATCGCAGCTGGGGTGGGATCACATTTCGGTGCAGCGTACCTGCTAAACGGCTGTAAGTTACCCCTCGTTCATCGTATCATCGTCACGTTGCGATTCTGACTCGTCCCTGGGATTGCAGGTGGCCCCAGCTCCATACATCTCACAGGCGT